CTACTATATAGGCGACAGGCATCTACAGATAATACACTGTACACTACTATATAGGCGACAGGCATCTACAGATAATACACTGTACACTACTATATAGGCGAAAGGCATCTACAGATAATACACTGTACACTACTATATAGGCGAAAGGCATCTACAGATAATACACTACTATATAGGCGAAAGGCATCTACAGATAATACACTGTACACTACTATATAGGCGAAAGGCATCTACAGATAATACACTGTAAACTACTATATAGGCGAAAGGCATCTACAGATAATACACTGTACACTACTATATAGGCGAAAGGCATCTACAGATAATACACTGTAAACTTCGAAATTCAAAGATCGACTTAAACCTTCACAAGTGTCTGATGCATATATCGGAAAATCCCTCTTGTTTATGTGACCAAGGTGTCGAAGATTGCGAACATTTTTTCTTACACTGTCCACTATACAACTCTCAGCGAAAAATAACAATAAATAAATATAAAAATATACAAACATTACTTTCTGGAAACACTGCTATATCTTTGGAGGACAATTCCTTCATCGTTGAAATCGTACATGACTTTATCAAACTAACTAAAAGCTTTAAAACTGCCTAGATTATTTCCGCCCCCCCCCCCCCCCCCCCGAAAGCAGGTGACCTCATAAAACTTGGCGAACAAATTTTGGGCCTTGGCATCGACATCGTCTTATTAAATATCTACCGTTATAATCTACTTGTATGTGTATTGTATGTTCTTTCCAAGGGATCTTTACCTTCACCTTATATCCAGACGTCTATCTTTTCAATGATCATTGTTTATGGAAGCGATTTTACATAAGCAGCAATGCTTGTTATTGTATCCATATATAGTATGTTAGATATATCTGTGACACACTAATGAAATAAAATATTGTTTAAACAAAAAAAAACAAAAAAAAATTTCAAGTTTCATCAAAATCGGATCAACATTGTGACCTCTAGATGGTCCACACAACCTTGATATACCAGATGTTTACACTATTTGTATAAGAGGGGCGGCCATTTTGTCCAGCAGTTTTGGCCGGATTTTCACGAAATTCGAACTCAACCATCATTACGGTGTAACGGTGATATATTCAAACGTATTTTTAAATCAGATAATAATTGTGACCCCTAGAGGGACCACAATCTAAAAACGCAATTTTTCATACAATCAGGGGCCAGAATTCAGGACAGGAAGTTACGATCTGATATGTGCGAATATCGATAGGAACCAAGATCTTTTGGTTATAAACATGTATTTCAAGTTTCATCAAAATCGGATCAACATTGTACAATATTTTGTACAATCAAGGGCCATAATTTAGGAAGTTATGATCCAATATGCGCGAATATAGAAAGTAATCAAGATCTTTAGATTATAAACATGCTTTTCAAGTTTCATCAAATTGGATCAAAATTGTGACCTCTAGGAGGTCCACAACCTTGATATACCAGATATTTACACTATTTGCGTACAAGGGGCAGCCATTTTGTCCGGCAGTTTTGGTCCGATTTTCATGAAATTCGAACTCAACTATCATAGGGTGTAACGGTGATACAGTAGACTTCGCATATAACGGACACCTTGGGACCGGAAGAAATCGTCCGTTATAAACGGTGTCCCATTATGCAAAAAATCTGCTATCAGACCGACCCTGAAATAGCGACCAGAAGGTAACACCATCCCATGAAATAACAACATTTATCATATGCAGAATCTACAGAACATACATGTACATAAAAGTCATGTACAGTATGTATTCAAATATTATGGATGTTCAAAATAAAAGAACTTATTTGAAAAAGTCTGTAATGCATATCTGCTTGAATCCACCAGAAACACGAAGAAAATCAGTAATATCATCATTTTGTTCTGCTTATTCGTCCGTTATAAACGATTGTCCGCTATAAACGACTTTGAAAATAAGAAATTTCTATTACAAAAATCGTTATAAGCGATTGTCCGTTGTATGCGCGTCCGTTATATGCGGAGTCTACTGTATATTCAAACGTTTTTTTAAATTGGATAAAAATTGTTAACTCTGGAGGGACCACAAGCTTAAAACGCAATTTTTCATGCGATCAAGGGCCATAATTCAGGAAGATAAGATCCGATATGCGCGAATATCGAAAGGAACCAAGACCTTTGTGATATAAGCATAAATTTAAGGTTGCATCAAAATGGTAAAACCAGCGGCTGCCAAGCAGGATACGCTCACATTTTCGAGAGATGGATAGAGAACAAGCTAAAAAAAAAAGTGATTTTTCCTACAATCAAGGGCCATAATTCAGGAAATTACAATTCGATATGTGCATATATCGAAAGGAACTGAGATCTTTGTGTTATAAACTTACATTTCAAGTTTCAACAAAATCGGATAAAAATTGTGACCTCTATAGGGTCCACAACCTTGATATACCATATTTTTACGCTATTTGAGAACGAACGGCGGCCATTTTGTCTGTCAGTTTTCAGTCGATTTTCACGAAATTCGAACTCAGCCGTCCTTAGGGTGTAACGGTGATATAATAATAGGTTTTTTTTAAATCGGATAAAAATTATGACCTCTATAGGGTCCACAAGCTAAAAACGCGATTTTTCGTACAATCAGGGGCCATAATTCAGGAAGTTACATTCCGATATGCGCGAATATCGAAAGGAACCGAGATCTTTTTGTTATAAACTTACATTTCAAGTTTAAACAAAATCGGATAAAAATTGTGACCTCTATAGTGTCCACAAGCTAAAAACGTGATTTTTCGTACAAACAGGGGCCATAATCCATGAAGTTTCGATCCAATACATGCCAATATCGAAAGGAACCGAGATCTTTTGGAGATAAACCTATATTTCATGTTTCGTCAAAATCTGATAAGAATTGTGACCTGAAAATGTGGGCATATAAAAATGGTGGCCTCTAGAGGGTCTACAACCTTGATATACCACATATTTACACGAACTCAACCATCATTACGGTGATATATTCACACGTATTTTTTTTTAAATCGGATAATAATTGTGACCTCTAACGCGATTTTTCGTACAATCAAGGGCCATAATTCAGGAATTTACGATTCGATATGCGCAAATATAGAAAAGGAACCAAGATCTTTGGGTTATAAACATGTATTTCAAGTTTCATCAAAATCGGATCAAAATTCTGGGCTCCAGAGAGTCCACATTGTGGTTCAAGTCTATTTAAATAATCTGTTTGCACGAATATCGAAAAGAGCCAAGATCTGCGGCTGCCAGGCAGGATACACCCACATTTTGTAAGAGCTTGATAGAGAACAAGCTAAAAACTAACGCGTTTATTTGTACAATCGGGGGCAATAATCCAGACTATTATGGTCTGAAATGCACAAATATCAAAAGGGACTGAGGTCTTTGGGATATAAAGATATGTTTTAAGTCAAAATCAGATAAAAAATTGTGAGCTCTAGAGGTTCCATAACCTTCGTATTACATACTTTTACTAAATTTGCGTACAAAGAGCTGCCATTTTGTTGTGCAGTTTCATTTCAATTTCCCGAAATTCTAATTTAACCTTCGTTATTGTCAAATGGTGATATATTTAAACGGTTTTTAAAATCGGGAAAAAAATTGTGACCTCTAGAGAATCCGCAAGCTAAAAATGCGATTCTTCGACCAATCAGGGGCTATAATCCAGGAAGTTACGTTCGGTATTGTGGCTTCTAACGGGACCAGAAGCTAAAAACGTGATTTTTTTTGTAAAATTAAGGGCCATAATTCAGAAAGTTACGATCCGATATACGCGAATATCGATAGGAACCAGGATCTTTGGGTTATAAACATGTATTTCAAGTTTCATCAAAATCGGATCAAAATTGTGACCTCTAGATGGCCCACAACCTTGATTTACCATATTTTTTACACTGTTTGCGTTCGAGGTGCGGTCATTTTGTCCGTCATTAAGGTGTAACGGTGATATATTCAAAAGTTTTTTTTTAAATATTAATAAAAATTGTGACCTCTATTGGGTCCACAAGCTAAAAACACGATTTGTCGTACAATCAGGGGTCATAATCCATGAAGTTACGGTCCGATACATGCCAATATCGAAAGGAACCGAGATCTTAGGGAGATAAACCTATATTTTAAGTTTCGTTGAAATCGGATAAAAATTGTGTGACCTGTAGAGTGACCACAAACAATTGGGCGTATAAAAATGCGATTTTTCGTACAATCAGGGGCCATAATTCAGGAAGTTACGATCCCATATTTGCGAATTTCGAAAGGAATCAAGATATTTGGGTTGTAAACATTCATTTCAAGTTTCACCAAAATCGGATGAACATTATGAACTCTTGAGTGTCCACAAGCTAACAACGTGATTTTTTTATACAATCAGGGCCATAATCCATGAAGTTATGGTCCGATACATGCCAATATCGAAAGTAACCGAGATCTTTGGGAGATAGACCTATATTTCAAGTTTCGTCGAAATCGGATAAAAATTGTGACTTGTAGAGATTGTGGACGGACAGGGGCGACGACAATATACGTCCACATGAAATTGTGGGCGTATAAAAATTGCGACAAGCTAAAAACGTGATTTTATGTACAATCAGTGGCCATAATCCATGAAGTTACGATCCGATATGTGCCAATATGAAAGGAACTGAGATCTTTGGGAGATAAACCTGTATTTTATAGTGTCCATAAACAAATTGTGAACGGATATGAGCGACAATCTAGGTACACATAAAAATGTGGGTGTATAAAAATTGAACCATGTTGGACCCAGAATGAGAGTTTGTGTTCAGTGGACGTTAAACCCCATTTCTATCTACCACTTGACTGCTGTGGTCCCCTGGAATTGACGGACTTATCACTCGACTACTGTGGTCCCCCAACGATGATTTAGTAGTCTCTGCGGTATATCTATAGATATAAGTCATTGACTTGTAAATAATCAGTTCAAGTAATATTCTTCCACCCTTCAGACAAACAAACACGATTTATTTCAAATAGAATATTTATTACATCATGTCATGTATATGATAAACATTCATTCAGCCGTATAAAATAATCAAATATTTCACTGAGAAATCATTTAAAACAGAGGCTTTTATGGTTTTACTCTGAAGACAATCAGATTAAAACAGAGGCTTTTATGGTTTTACTCTGAAGACAATCAGATTAAAACAGAGGCTTTTATGGTTTTACTCTGAAGACAATCAGATTAAAACAGAGGCTTTTATGGTTTTAATCTAAAGACAATCTTCAAAGAAAATGTCAATGTAGTGTAATGTCTGTATCTCCTGTCCAGTCTGTGATATTTTGGATTTTTCTGTTATTACAGTGGGCGGGAGGGGGGAGATGATATGTACATATATCTGCATGTAATAACAAAACAATTCTAGTATATCAAATTAAATAAAACAAAACATATTCACATCATCATGGTTATAAACTAATTATATATACATGGCACTATAATTTATAGTACATACACCAATTCTTGCATTGATAGGTTATTTCAACTGTTAGATAGTTGATGGAATTCTACAGGCTGTTTAATATACATGTAAATATCACTCTACAGTCAACATTTTACAGATATATTCTGGTATCTCAAGGTAATCAAAACATAGGTTGCCAGACAACGAAACATACGCCCACAGCAGCTAAATCGTCCGTTCAGTCAACGGGAGTTGTCGCATATTTTTTCTCGTCGGTAATACACTAAAATCTAATTAAGAGTAACAACTCATTAAGTAACTATCAGAAAATCATTAGAATTTAGTATACAAAACATTTAATATCATGGATTTAGCTGTTTAAGTAACCAAAAATCATTGACCAGCGGCTGCCAGGCAGGATACGCCAACATTTTGCAAGATGGATAGAGAACAAGCTAAAAACAAAAACGATTTTTTGTACAATCAGGGGCCATAATCCAGAAAGTTATGGTCTGAAATGCGTAAATATGAAAAGGGACGGGATTTTTGGAATATGAAGATATGTTTTAAGTTTCATCAAAATTGGATAAAAATTGTGACCTCTAGATGATCCATAGCCTTTGTATTACATACTTATACACAATTTTCGTACAAGAGCGGCCATTTTGTCGGGCAGTTTCATTTTGATTTTCCCGAATTCGAATTCAACCTTCATTATTGTGGAATGGTGATATATCTAAACGGTTTTTAAAATAAGAAAAAACAAGCCAACAGTGAGGCTGATGTCCTCCGCCGAAATCTCAAAATAAATAGATGACACATATCAATTAATCGCACATTTATTTTTTTTCAAAAGTATCAAGCAATCTAACTACATACTAAGTTTCATTACTCTCTATCAGATAGAATCAAGATTACCTTGTCCCAAAGCATCGACCAATGAAATTGATTAGCTCTGCTTAGCTTTAGCTTGAAATGTTAATCATTTAACTCAGTCAAGACATTCACCTAATGAACATCTACACCATGTTTAAACATTCTACCTCAATAAAAAGCAGAGTTGTTATGTTCCAAAGTCTTGACCAATCAAATTGCTTATCGCTCCTTAGCCCAGGTAGAAAATTGGCACAATCGAACTTCGTCATGGTAATGATATAATGAATCTATATTCAGAGTTTCATTGCTCTCACTTCATAATAACCAAAGTTATCGTGCCCCTAAAGCATCAACCAATCAGATTGCTTATCTCTGCTTACCGTAAGCAGACAATGTTCATCATCGAACTCCATCAAGGGATTCACCTAATGAAGGCCTACACCAAGTTTGAACATTCTACCTCAATTAGAAGGAGAGTTATCGTGTTCCAAAGTCTCGACAAATCAAATTGCTTATCACTGCTTACCCTAAGCAGAGAATGCTCATCTTCGAATTCCATCAAGGGATTCACCTAATAAACACCTACACCAAGCTGGAACATTCTAGCTCAATTAGGAGAGTTATTGTGTTCCAAAATCTTGGCCAATCAAATTGCTTATCGCTCTGCTTACAATGAGCAGAAAATGCTCATTATCGAACTTAGTCAAGGTATTGATGTAATGAAACTATACACCAAGTTTCATCACTCTCACTTAATTAGAACTAAAGTTATCGTGTCCCAAAGCATCAACCAATCAAATTGCTTATCTCTGCTTACCCTATACGGAAAATGATCATCTTCGAACTCCATCAAGTTTGAACATTCTAACTCAATTAGAAAGAGAGTTATTGTGTCCCAAAAAGTGTGACAGACAGACAGGCGGACGAACCCATTTTAATAGACAAAAATGTGACCTCTAGAGAATCCACAAGCTAAAAATGTGATCCTTCGACCAATCAGGGGCCGTAATCCAAGTGGGAACCACGCCGGAAAGTCTGGATGAACTTACTTGGCCAATGCAGGAATTGAACACCTGACCTCCAGGCTAGCGAGCCAGCATCTTACCCACTGTGACCCTCTATAGGAGTAAACACGGTGTATGAATATAAAATCAATCAGATGATAACTATGGTCATAAAGCATCCACAAGATTTTTCAATGTGATCAAGGGTTATAACTCTGGCAGTAATAATCAGAAATTAATGAAAATCAATAGGATTCTTCGTCGGACGGCCTTATAAATTCAAAGTCAATCAGATATTAACTTTAGCCTCTAGAGCGTCCACAACATTTTTCAAAGTGAACTAGGTCCATAACTCTGGCAGTAATTATCGTATATCGTTGAAAATCAATAGGATTCGTCGTCTCATGACCTATAACACTGTGTATAAATTTAAAGTCAATCGGGTATTAACTTTTGCCTTTAGAGCGTCCACAAGCAATTTTGGACACTGGACGGACGGACGACGACACTCTATACGACCACATTTGAAGGTGGGCGTATAAAAAGCAAGAATTAATAATAAAAAAAAAAGCACAAATAAAAGAAATAAACAAACTCACTTTTTCCGAGTATTCTGAAGCAATCTGTTGTATTTCAGCTGACTGCATGCCTACTATGGAACTTACAGCACTAGTGTATAAAAACTAGATAATGTAAAGGGAGTATGCTGAAAATGTCAGTCAAATTGCTCCAATCTGGGGGGTTGGATGGTCGAATGGTTAGCATGTGCACACTGTATCATAAAGCCTGTCATTGAGGCCTGAGGTTTTGAATCGCTGGTTGTACGTGACAAGAAGTAGGGTTGCCTGTCCAACCTCGTGGGTTTTCTCCGGGTCCCTCCCACTGCTAAAGACCCCCTACGCGCAAAGGAATTATTGAAATAAAAGTAAACCATGTTAGTCCCAAAATGACCTAGTTTGTGTCTCTCGGTCTCTCTCACTCCAATCTAAACCAAGACATAGTTTGTGTTGAGTGGAGGTTAGGCCGTGTTGAATTGATTCCTTGTTTCTCCTGCCACCACTCTGGCAATCATGTGCGGTAGTGCGGTAAACACAACACAAAGTGGGTTTCAAAACACAAAGTGGTCTGGCATAATACCTATATAGTCTGAGGGTTGTGTACCATTTTTAATAATATTATAAATAATCTAGTTATATTATTGGTTAGAATAAAAACACAGATAATATTTAATTAAATAAATTTAATAACAAACTAAAATTTGGTAACAAGTGGCTTCTTTGTTTAACTTTTTAAAAAATGAAATAACCATATTTTGATATAAATTTTCCGTATTCTTGTGTTAAAATACAATGGAAACATTCCAATTATAATTTGATTCGCTTGTTGAGTTATAGATGGTTTCGATAATATCATCGAACGTGAAAGTGCTGGGAATAACCACCAAAGTCGATTCGAGATAAGTAAATTCGCGTACCGGTCGGCCTAATTTATTTATTGATGTTCAAGGAAATAATAGTGGTCCCGTTTGTTCGTTCGTTTGTTAAACTCCGGAAACCAAATGAACGGGGCCACTATTATTTCCTTGAACATCAATAAATTAGGCCGACCGGTACGCGAATTTACCTATGTCCCGGCATAGCTCACCATTTTGTAAGGCGTGCGTTATTTATTACACAAGATATGATTGGGTAATACTTGAATAATAATGACATGAGTTATAATTTTAGCCAATGAAAAAATTGATTATTCAGGTTCGTGGTTGAATATTAGCGATTGTCTTACAGTTTATAATATGCTTTCTCATTAGCCGAAATGACTGCTACACGCGCCATTTTGCGGAATTCATCCAATCATATACAGTGTAACTTATTCCATAGTATGCGGGCCCCTACATGTGTATTATCAACCGGATCCATTCACTTGATTTGATATTTGTTTATTCGGTGCAATGCCTATTTTCTGTCTTGTCCGCAGGTTTTTTGTTTTGCGTGTAGTGCGGCCCCCTGCACTTACTTATTTAGTTCGTAACGAGGAATAAACAACGAGAATTGACTTCTGATGTTTGGTAGAATTTTATTTAGATGTTATTAACGTAATTTTTTGAATATTTTTTTTTGTGTTAAAAACGTAAGCGCACGATTTTCGGGGTCCTCGACCTAAGCGCGCGGGCGAGGAGAAACAAGGAATCAATTCAACACGGCCTTAAACCACATCACTCTATCTCTCACTCCAATCTAAACCAAGACATTAGAGTTTGAATTTTAGGTCATCATTACTAAAGCCAGTACAATAAAAAAAACATAGCGACACATAAGATGGCATCGAGAGTTGATTAAAGTCTTTTCATGTTAATAAATATCTAATTAATAGTTTATAACATTTCATGCCTAAAGAAAGACCTGCAATAGGCAGATGTAGCTCCTACATAAACTATGTTTAACATTTATATGTTTACACAAACATGATTATAATGATTCTAACACATTTACATCAACATATTGATTTATGATAGATTGAGATTCTTTCAACAATGATGACTAGAAACAAGTCCAGTATTTTAAATGAAATAAGTGAAATAATATAACCATGTTGGCAGGAATCTCTTAATATATTATACAATAAACAATATTAAAATACAGATATTAGCATGCCAAGCATCCATTATTTATACTAGATCAGGTATGTGGGATAGTGTCTGTATTTTAAGTTGTTTAATGGTCTCGTGCAAGATATAGATATAGCCCTCGTACAATATATTACTTAATGTCTCATTCACTACCATTAAACTACAATTATTACATGTAATGGACTGGACAATTTTAAGATGAATTTCATCAATTTTGTTTTGATATGTTGGCAGGGAATGAAACATTTTTTAATTTAAATATCTATAAAATTTGCATTTCAATACAAGAATTGATTAAATATTATTATAATGGTATTTGTTCTCATTTGAAGTCATCGAGTGATATATGTAAAATATATAATACTGGTATAAAATAAATACATTATACATACTGTCATAACATCATATTGATAGTTCATTACAATTTGATTTTATTTCATTTCTTAAACAAATAAGAGTCACTCTATGAATACACTTTCTAATGATTACATCCAAGGACTCTGAGCTAAGGATTTACAGCCAAGGACTCTGAGCTAAGGATTTACAGCTGACTCCTAATCCAAGCTGAAATCTTTGCAATCTACATACATGTATATGACAGTTTTCATACTTTGGTGGATCACATAAAACTTTGAATCTGATTAGAGAATATAAATGTAGTTAGTTTGGCCTTATATAGAGATCTTTATAAATAAATAAAAAGAATTGGGTGGAAAACTAGACGAAGAGACATAACTTGTAAAAAATAAAACAAAATAATTTAATTAGGCCTTAATTAAATAAAACCTAAAAAGTTTCATATCTAAAAATATATTTCTAAGTGATTTATGGATTGAGAGGATCAATTTAATTACAAGGTTGAATCTGTGACAGATCAAATGGCTTTTTAAGGTGAGATATTCTACATGTAATACTATTGCTGCGATTGGTTGAATCTGTGACAGATCAAATGGCTTTTTAAGGTGAGATATTCTACATGTAATACTATTGCTGCGATTGGTTGAATCTGTGACAGATCAAATGGCTTTTTAAGGTGGGAAGCGGACGTAAAACAACTACTGGTTGAATCTGCGATAGATCAAATGGCTTTTCAAGGTGGGAATTCCTAAACACATTGGAATTAACAGATTTCAAACTTTATTTTCACATTTGATTCTTGTAAAACAAAAAAAAATACCCCCGAATTTTGTTAATAGTTTGATTCAAAATTACATGCAATTTATTAGGATTTCTAAATAAAATAACATTTATTTAAATAGGATTTCTTGTTATATATAAATTATACAAGAATAATTACTGTTATTCTATACTAAAATAAATTAATTCCATTGCTGTACTTTTTAAAATACTGTATTTTATAAACTAAATTGGGTTTAATGTCCTACAGTGCTGCAGTAAGTGTGCTATGAGGGTACTAATATAAATATAAACCATACAGACTAGGACTGTCTTCCTGCTTGAATACACATTATCACAACTTTGTCAGTGGTCACAATGTACATCAATGTATGGCAAATCAAATTTGATATGGACCCTACCAGATTTGTAAATTGAGATTCATAATCTCCAAGGGCAGATTTAGACAGGAAGCATTCGTGTAAAGTGAAATAAATCATGTATATAATATGGCCGTTATCTGGCCGGGTGGTATTATGTATTATGTATTAGTACCCTACCATGGGGAGGAGGATTCGTATAGACACAACATCGAAAGCAGAAACACAATACTATCTTACATGTATTTAATGATGCGGTCACAGCTGCTTACAGCTTTAAATTATACTACAACGCATAAAAATACTTTTCTGTCACAGAAATAAAAACCTAGTCCATGCATGTACATCTTTTTGTAATATTAGAATGCACAAAAATACTATTCAATGTTTTGTCATAATCTGGTCTTTCAAATCCATGGTATTAAACAAATCCATGGAATTAAACAAATCCATGGTATTAAACAAAATCTAAATGGCACTACACTGATCACTTTAATTTGATTCAAGACATGTCCATAATTTCATTCAAGACTTGTCCATAGCTTGATCACTCAAAACAGAACTGGGCCCTGTTTCTCGAAATCTTAACTAAAGATAAAATCCAAATTCTAGTAAGATACTTCAATTTTGATTGGCTAAGCACTAAAATCAATCTAATATTATCCAATCAAATTACTAAAATTTGGATTTTATCTTAGTTAAAATTTCATGAAACAGGCCCCAGGGCACAATGATGGATAGTTTGAGTTGTCACAGATCTGTTAGACAGAATTTGGAAGATTAAACAATGTGATCTCTATGATGGCACGGTATTATTTGTTAAAATAGTGTATAATATATTAGATGGCTCTGTTGTATTAAACAGTAACGAACTGTTGGTAACCATGACAGTGGTATTCATATTAATACAACTTGACATGTCATCGGGTAGGTGGACTATAAGCAGACCTGAAAAAATAAATATTACCTTTAAGTAAGGCAATGTTTTTCATTTCTATCACATAACAAAAATATATGGCAACTGTGTACAACTTGGTTGAGGTTTCTAAATTTGAAAGATAGGTTGCCAGGCAACAAAGCATACGCTCACAGCAGCTAAGTTGCCCGGGCAGTCAACAAGGACTGTCGCATCAGTAATGAAAACATTTACAACACATGAAAATCTGATTACAAGTAATAACCTAGCAAGTAATTATCAGAAATCGTTAGAATTTGTTTGGCTTCTAGTTTGGCCCTATTTCTAACATTTAGTATTCAAACCATTTAATATAAAGGGCTATAACTCTGGCAGTAATAGCCTTCTTCGTCTCATTACCCTAAAGGCTCAATACCACTCTTGTTGTAACTGAATAATATGTCCCAATCTTTATTCTGGTCAACAAATTGTACTATTTTAGAATATTTCAATTAATTGATGATACAAATTCCATCTTAACACACCTTATTTAAAAATTTTGAAAAATTCAACATAATGGTTTGAAACATCTAACGAAAACCTTTTCGATTTAAAAATATTTTCGAACCCTCTGGACAAGTAAAATAGGATGTAATGGATAATTTACACAACAGGTAGGACACTTAAACATCTAGTACTTAGATAGAGATATTATTTATTTTCTGGAGCTTTCAAGCCAGCAAGAGTGTTATTGTCCCTTTAAACACTGTGTATAAATTTAAAGTCAATCAGATTCTATCAATTTATCCCCAGTTGTTAAAATTGGCCATAAGCTGATCGCTCTCTGATATAGAACTCTTTATCTTGGGACATTTGCTAATTTGTAACAAAGCAAATCCTTTATGACTTGCTACTCTGATGTTACCTTTAGAGAGGTGTAAGACTACTCCAAGTTTAAAATGCCCCTCTGACTTGCTATTCTTCTTATGTTACTTTAGAGAGGCAGGATATAAATTGGTGCCTGTAATTAACTAAGTAAGGAATACCCCTTCTATCGTTGAGCTTTCCCTGAAAGTTGCATATTCATAAAATTTCTTAGGTAATTCGTTGGCATGCACATCAGATGGACGATGGGTGAAATATATGGGGTTTAATGTGAATATAATTTTTGTACTGTTATATATAAAGCTACATTTACCTGCTATACTGGCAGTCATTAGACAGGCAACAATACCACCAAATAAGGCTTTTAATACAACTGAAGCAAGATCACTTGCTCGATTTGGTGCCATTGGAGTCAAACCACCCAACTGTATTCCTATAGAACTTAGGTTAGCAAACCCACACAGGGCATACGTTGCTATTATCTCAGATTTAGGCTGAAATAGAAAATTGAAATATTAACCATTTGATCTCTGACACCCCAATAATTGGAAACATTTTAAACCAGCGGCTGCCAGGCAGGATACGCCCACATTTTCGAGAGATGGATAGAGAACAAGCTAACAAGAAAGTGATTTTTCCTACAATCAAGGGCCATAATTCAGGAAATTACAATTCGATATGCGCATATATCGAAAGGAACTGAGATCTTTGTGTTATAAACTTACATTTCAAGTTTCAACAAACTCGGATAAAAATTGTGACCTCTATAGGGTCCACAACCTTGATATACCATATTTTTACGCTATTTGAGAACGAACGGCGGCCATTTTGTCTGTCAATTTTAGGGCGATTTTCACAAAATTCATACTCAACTGTCCTTAGGGTGGAACGGTAATATAATAATACGTTTTTTTAAATCGGATAAAAATTATGACCTCTAATGGGTCCACAAGCTAAAAACATGATTTTTCGTACAATCAGGGGCCATAATTCAGGAAGTTACGGTCCGATATGGGCAAAAGCTAAAAACATGATTTTTCCTACAATCAAGGGCCATAATTCAGGAAATTAAAATTCGATATGCGTGAATATCGAAAGGAACCGAGATCTTTGGGTTATAAACTTACATTTCAAGTTTCAACAAAATCGGATAACCAGCGGCTGCCAGGCAGGATACGCCCACATTTTCGAGAGATAGATAGAGAACAAGCTAACAAGAAAGTGATTTTTCCTACAATCAAGGGCCATAATTCAGGAAATTACAATTCGATATGCGCATATATCGAAAGGAACTGAGATCTTTGTGTTATAAACTTACATTTCAAGTTTTAACAAACTCGGATAAAAATTGTGACCTCTATAGGGTCCACAACCTTGATATACCATATTTTTACGCTATTTGAGAACGAACAGCGGCCATTTTGTCTGTCAATTTTAGGGCGATTTTCACAAAATTCATACTCAACTGTCCTTAGGGTGGAACGGTAATATAATAATACGTTTTTTTAAATCGGATAAAAATTATGACCTCTAATGGGTCCACAAGCTAAAAACATGATTTTTCGTACAATCAGGGGCCATAATTCAGGAAGTTACGGTCCGATATGGGCAAAAGCTAAAAACATGATTTTTCGTACAATCAGGGATCATAATTCAGGAAGTTACGATCCGATATGCACGAATATCGAAAGGAACCGAGATCTTTGGGTTATAAACTTACATTTCAAGTTTCAACAAAATCGGATAAAAATTGTGACCCCTATAGGGTCCACAACCTTGATATACCATATTCTTACGCTATTTGGGAACGAATGGCGGCCATTTTGTCTGTCAATTTTGGGCCGATTTTCACGAAATTCGAACCCAGTCATCCTTAGGGTGTAACGGTGATAAAATAGAACGGTTTTTTAAATCGGATAAAAATTATGACTTCTATAGGGTCCACAAGCTAAAAACGTGATTTTTCGTACAATCGGGGGCCATAATTTAGGAAGTTACGGTCCGATATGCACGAATATTGAAAGGAACCGAGATCTTTGGGTTATAAACTTATATTTCAAGTTTCAACAAAATCGGATAAAAATTGTGACCCCTATAGGGTCCACAACCTTGATATACCATATTCTTACGCTATTTGGGAACAAACGACGGCCATTTTGTCTGTCAATTTTGGGCCGATTTTCACGAAATTCGAACTAAGTCAGCCTTAGGGTGTAACGGTGATATAATAGAACGTTTTTTTAAATCGGATAAAAATTATGACTTCTATAGGGTACACAAGCTAAAAACGTGATTTTTCGTACAATCAGGGGCCATAATTCAGGAAGTTATGCGCAAATATCGAAAGAAACTGAGATCTTTGGGTTATAAACTTACATTTCAAGTTTCAACAAAATCGGATAAAAATTGTGACCTCTATAGGGTCCACAAGCTAAAAACGTGATTTTTCGTACAAACAGGGGCCATAATCCATGAAGTTTCGATCCGATACATGCCAATATCAAAAGCAGCCGAGATCTTTTGGGGATAAACCTATATTTCAAGTTTCGTCGAAATCGGATAAGAATTGTGACCTGTAGAGAGTCCACAAACAATTGTGGACGGACGTCTGGACGGACAGGGGCGACGGCATAATACGTCCACATGAAAATGTGGGCGTATAATAAAAATGTCCACACAAACAACAGCCATTATACACACTTGAAGCAATAAACAATTGTATATATGTAATCAAGTGGCTAGCCATAAGAATCAACCGTACTATACAGTCTCTACCCTCTGGTGTGTAATGATACAAGCTTCACTAATTACACAAAGATAGGTTGCCAGGCAATGAAACATACGCCCACAGCAGCTAAATCGTCAGGCAGTCGACAACAGCTGTCGCATGTTTTAACTTTTTTCGGTAATGAAACATTTATAATACATTAAAATCTGATTAAGAGTAACAACTCATTAAGTAATTATCAGAAAACCATTAGAATTTGTTTGGTTTATATAAAGTTTTGCCCCATGCTAACATTTAGTATACGAAACTTTTAACATCATGGATTTAGCTGTTTAAGTCATAAAAATTCATTAAAAATCAATATACTTGTTCGTTTCAAGATCTTAAACTCTGTGTATCAATCGGAGGTCAATCGGATCACAACTTTAGACTCTAGAGCGTCATAAGATTTTAACTTTAGCCTCTGGAGCGTCCACAAGATTTTTCAAAGTGATCAAGGGGCTTAACTCTGGCAGTAATTATCGGAAATCGCTGAAAATCAATAGACTTCTTCGTCTCCAGCCGTAAACACTGTGTATAAATTTAAGTCAATTTGTGGAGGCCGGACCAACGGACAGACGGGGGCGACGACAATATACGACCACATTTCAGTGTGGGCATATAAAAAGTCTAAACTATACCTTCCGATACATTGATGACATAAAACCTATCAATGATAACGGAAATTTCAATAAATATAAAAGTGAAATATATCCCTCAGAATTAATATTAAATAAAGAAAATTCCGGCACTATATATAACCGCATCTGTTCTTGATCTGGACATCAAAGGTGGAACACAATTACTCATTTTAAAAGAAATTTCAATACTTCCATTTCTTTCTTGATATTTTTTATAAGTATGTAACTGATTACATAATGGGTAATGATCTAATTGAATAATTATTTTAAATTTTTTGCAGTTTTCTAATTCTATCTGGATTATGGCCCTTTATATAAAAACACTTTTATAGTTCGATTTCTTCAACAAGCTAGTTTGCATTTGTGATACAAAATGTAGGTGTATTACTTATATTTTGCGCAATTACATAGCTGAATAATTACATTTAACTCTTGACGACATTTGGCAAACTACCACCTTTTACGTCATGTCATTCAAGCAGACGACTTTGTATTCAGAAGTGTTTTTGTGCCCTAACTTTGTAGTCAACACACCTCAATTCTTTCGAAGGCTTATAATGTTTCTAACTACCGGTATAACATAGACTATATTTTTTAGTTGTAGGCTATCTGGCTTTTTTATACATGTCACCAATATAGTTACTTGTATAGGTAATTTCTTCCTTCAATATGCTTACATTTCATTTGGCATATAGCAGATTAGTTTATGACTAATACTTGTATTACACAATGTTTTTGGGATATATTCCTCCTTATTGTTAGTTTTCATTTTGAGTGAAGTCTCCATGACTACGGGTTGGATACATACGCCTAGTCCCCGGATCCATTCACTTAATCTGCTGATATCTGCATTTGTTTGTGATTTCTGCGTATTGTGTTTTGTTCGTAGATTTGTTTTGTGTAATTATGTGTGATGCAGTATCCCTGCACAGACTGCCTTAAATAATAAATATATTCTTACCGATAAAATAATACCATCTGCGCAATCCCTTCTAGCTTTGATAAACTTTGATAACTGTTCGTAGGCTACAAACTCGTTGAGGAAAGTTTTCATTCCAATCAGTTCTCCAACAATCCGGGCATCTTTCCACTCAACACCCATCAAATACGCCACAGGCATAAAAACATACGAACATATCCACTGAAAATAAACAATAGATACCTCAATCACTACCAACCAGTAGAGCTGGGCGTTATAAAACCATGACAGAAATAAAAACCGTCAAAAATACCGTCTTCAGAAAAATATCGAAAAACCGAACATACAGCGATATATCGCGGTTTTGATTTTTCTGGATGATATTTAACATAAACACTGAAAAAAAAGTCTTCCTTTTTATGTCATTTACGATATTTTATTGCTTAATGATGAATAAATAGCAATAAATACTGTTATAAACTCCGGAGTGTTTGTTCAACCAAGTTAGCAAATGCCGATAAAGAGTTTTGTTTACGTCATGTGACTTCTCGCTCACATTTCCACCCAACCAATACTGTTAGAATTATCCATGCTTCTATTCAGTTTCTTGACAAATTGTTTATATAGATACTTTGATTTTCCAAAGGAATCATTGATTTTCAGATTGAAATAAACTTTATTAAAGCAGGAATATAAACAATGCCAACTATATTGAGAGTTCTGGTAGACTGATTATCATTCGGCATTGGACCTGTCATGGTGGTCTGTGATCCGGAAAAAAAAATATTTGAGTAATTTAAAATCAGAAAAAAAATTGTGACCTCGAGAGAATCTCTGCAAGCAAAAAATGTGATTTTTCAAACAATCAGGGGCTATAATCCAGGAAGTTACGTTTGGATCTGCACAATTATCAAAAGGAACTAATATCTTAGTGTGTAACTAGTGTTGAAAATCGGATCGAGATTTGTGATCCAAATACGTTTGTTTGCTATCCGAATACTATTCGGATAATTCGGAAACATGAAATTCTTGAACAAAATCACATCAAAAGTTCATATACTCATAATTTCTTACTTATTTCAATGTTTATGAGTGTCTGTGTATGCCGAGTATGAAATCTTACTTTCGATTTGCAAATTGTTTGAGCCGCGAAGAAAAAAACGTGCATACCTTTAGCCGCAATTATTAAGACTATCCATGATATGCAAAAAAATCAATGAGGTGAATAAATTTGTGTATAACTACTCCTGTAATCTGCGGCCCTCCCACTTATCATTTTTGCTCAATCAACATGAATGAGAAAAGTAAAATAAAAACATCTGACATTTATTCCGCCAAGGTCATTTGCCTCATTCTGATAATCTACTGCTATTGAACAAATCAGTAAGTGAGAATATATGTGATCTAGGTCGTTATGAATTAATTTCATTGCGGGAAGTCTAAACACAGTGTAAACTTGTATCCTGTAAACCCAAGAAGTAGCTTCTATCTAGCGTAAACCAGCGCAGGGAATGAATGAATATTTTTTTTATTTAGACTACTGTTTTCGTTGCACTGCATTAATATTTTTATTAGTTACTATCGCTAAATAATACGCATGATATTAACATTTATGCTCAAAGCTGTGTACGTGATCAATAGCATTGGGGAAAATTTCAAAGTAATCAGATGTAAAAAATGGCTAAATATAGAGCATACGGAATGTCAGAAGACTATAACGGATAGTTAAATGATTCAGATAAGCCTTATTTTGTATCCGTTAACGGATATCCGAATAGTAGTTTCAACACTATGTGTAACGGTGATATATTCACACATTTTTTCTTATAAATCGGATAATAGTTGTGACCTCTAGAGGGACTACAAGCTAAAAATGTGATTTTTCGTACAAATTTCTTCAGGGGTCATAATTCAAGAAGTTATTATCCGATATATACGAGAATTAGTGCTCCTACGGTTAGGACTTTTTGTTATTCGAATAGCCGTAGCTATTAACCGGTTAGTAACCGTTAACCGTATGGTATCAATTTTAAACATAAAACAGAGCTTGTCAGGAGGTGCGAGTCATTACTCGTGCGCACGCTATACTCGCCTAAAAGGCATTACACGCGCAAAAATTTCAGGAATTTTTTCAGACATGTACAATTCTTTGAAGAAAATCTAAACGATCTAAGGCCGTAGTTATTTATTTACCTGGTTTACTTGGTTCATTTGAAACATTTTTTAATTCAATAGAACGATAATATACAAAACAATATTCTGGTTCCCTTCGTACGTGACAGATGGCGATAATATTACGATTACACAATGTTACTAAGAATAGAATAAAGTAAATTGGAAGGTGCATATTCATTGGACAATAAAGAAATAATTCCTCGCTTGCAAGTAGAATTTTTATGATTGGTTAATTTAACTAAATACCAAAGTAGAATTCTTGCAAGAATTACGAGATATGAAACGTGTTGAATGTCGTTACGAATCTAGTATAATGTCATTTTCTAGCCTTTATGATTATATTTTGAATGGTGGTGACGTTTTGAAGTAAATAATAAACAAGGTAGAATATAGTTAGAAATGCCGAGAAGTCTTTAGATTGGATTAACAATAGCAAAAGTCAGAACAAGGTCCGTTGACTTTGCCATATGACTACGACGAGTGCTATTAATAGTATTATTTTTTAGCAGTCGACATCGTAGGACGACTGTTACATTCTAAGATTTTCAAACATCAAATACAAAATGACAACGGGCAAGTTTTGTTATAAAGAGGAATATAATCAGACACAACTCTATGTAATGTGGGACATCTCCGAATAACCGTACCGTTGAATTCGAACCGTTTAACCGCCCAGTTCTAACCGTTTACGGCTATCAGACTAGTCGTAGGAGCACTAACGAGAATATCGAAAAGAACCAAGATCTTTGGGAGATAAACCTATATTTTAAAATGTTTTTTGTGCCTCCTTCATGTAAATATTCTTAATCTAAATAAAATATCATAATCAAAATTGTAATAAACAACGTAGACCAATATTTTTAGCAAGTCTTCATGGCTATAGATAGATCTATGTTTGAACCAGCTTATTAAATTTTGTTTGTAAATACTCTGCTAAAGACCCCTACACGCAAGCAAACTACTGAAATAAAGAAGAACCATATGTCAGTCCCAAAATGACCTAGTTTGTGTCAAGTAGACGATAAACCCCATTTCTCTCTCTCTTTCTCATTAAAATGAAAACACCATAATCAAATCTCGACGCCATCTTATGTGTTCGATTTTCATTGGATTTGAATCCGATCTGCCGTTCAACGCTCATTGATGATTAAATGATGATGAGTATTTTTCACGAATCGACCATCAAGACTTACCTCAAACGATAAATCAGGGAAACACACAAATCCTCCAAACCATGACAACACAGCATTAACAAACGCCAGTAGGGCGAGGAAAGCTATCAGATTGGCCGCGATATTAGCAACTAGACCAATAGATGCCGAGGCTCCAGCAGCTGCTGCTTCAAGAACATTACGATAATTCCTGTAAATATGCAACAAATTAAATTATTTATTGTAATTAACATTGTTTAACTAATGTATCTTTAAATTTCAACAATTAGAAAAACCTTTCACAATGAACATGTCCTTTCTATAGTCGCACTTCTGCATTGAAATATTGGTCATGTGTCTGGAAAACGTGACTACTATGCACTGTGTTTACGCTATTGCATAATCTGGTTGTAATATTCATGATTTTTGATGTTAAATAACTTTTACAATGATGAAAACAATACTCTAAGTTTGACATATGCTACATAAGCTGCCCATTTGTGAAACTGAAAGTTTGATATTCCGAGTTTCCGTCGGTCTCATATTCTCAGCAATTTCTGCACAATAAAACATAATTAAATACTATTGTGAATTTTCAAGATAGGATGAACGAATAACGCTTTATTTACATGCATTTCTAATTAATTATGTGTAATTTTAAACTCATGACGGCTATGAAGCAAGGTGGACAAAATTACACCTAGCTACTTCATTGCCAGTTGGGTAATTCAGATCCCGTGACATCCACATCAAATATGCTGTCTGCAGATGGAATTCGCTTGGCACCCATAAATGAATGGAATTGAAAATACCATCCACAATACTGTACAATTGATGTCCTGTGGCAGCAATAACTTGCAATAACCAATTGTCAACAGTTATTTTGTTCCCTGGCACTAAGGGATAGGAAAGTGAAAACCCACAAGGTTGGACAGGTGACCCTACTCGTCATGTACAAGCAGGGCAGGTGACCCTACTCGTCATGTACAAGCAGGGCAGGTGACCCTACTCGTCATGTACAAGCAGGGCAGGTGACCCTACTCGTCATGTACAAGCAGGGCAGGTGACCCTACTCGTCATGTACAAGCAGGGCAGGTGACTCTACTCATCATGTACAAGCAGGGAATCGAAACCTCATCACAAACCTTTTAATCTAAAGCATGACATGCTAAACCAATCAGTCAACCATCCCCCCACCATCTATCGTTAAACCAATCAGTCAACCAACCCCCCACCATCTATCGTTAAACCAATCAGTCAACCAACCCCCCACCATCTATCGTTAAACCAATCAGTCAACCATCCCCCCACCATCTATCGTTAAACCAATCAGTCAACCAACCCCCCACCATCTATCGTTAAACCAATCAGTCAACCATCCCCCCACCATCTATCGTTAAACCAATCAGTCAACCAACCCCCCACCATCTATCGTTAAACCAATCAGTCAACCAACCCTCCACCATCTATCGTTAAACCAATCAGCCAACCAACCCCCCACCATCTATGAGATGCTGACACGATATATATTGTTATTGCATTGTATCATGATTCACCTTTTAGCAACGCTATCTGTCAGTAATTAGGAAAGTTTCTCAACTAACATCAGGAGTGGTCCCTGGATCTTCAGGCTATTAACCCAGCGTGGACAATCTCTTTCTATAATGCTCTCCAGTCTGAGTGAATTGCTATACCTGAGTGAATCGCTATACCTGAGTGAATCGCTATACCTGAGTGAATACCCACATTTGCACCAGAATTCGAAATTTACACATATATATTATTACTTTTACCACAAATATTTAAAACATAGACAACTTACGATGATTCATTGTTGATGTGAGTTTTCTTTGATATTTTACTTTTTTCTGTTTCTGGGAAAAGTAATTTGGATACAGCCAAAGCACAGGGAGCATTCATTACAGACGCACACAATAAATGTTCAGCTGGAACCTGGAATATAAAATGTAGTCTTAGTAAGACATCAAATAAATAACTTTCTATCTTTAAATCTATTCTAAGTTTACTGATTGAAAAACAGATTCTGAAGGACAGTAATCAGAACTGGTGCTGCCTGAGCAAAATACCCCTCCCTTGTACTGCACAAGTGACCATAGTAAATAAAGATATGTTCCAGGCATCAAAACATACATCTTGAACCTAACTATTACATCCAAACTAAGGAAAGGTTGCCAGGCAACAAAACATATACCATTAAGCTAATACTTACACCAAAAGAAACATAAGCAGCTAAAACACCACCAGCTATCGTAGCGAAGCCTCCGGTCATTACAGCATGCAATTCAGATTTAGTCATTTTCTCGAGAAAAGGTCGAATGAGAATTGGAGCCTCCGTCTAAAATAAAACATAAATTGGCACAATCAGTTTTCATGTAAAATTGTGGGAAAATTCCCAACTTTCTTTACAAATGAAATGAGATAGAGTTTAACATCCTACTTTCAATTTTGGGAAACAAATCCCTCAAATTGATCAAACTGCTTCCATTTAATGTTTTCCCAGTTACAGAGAAAAATATTTGTAATACATGTCACAAACAGAATATGCAAATACTGCAACTTTACCTGTCCTACGAAGATATTTCCTGCGGCACAGAGAGATTCAGCAGCCGTTGTTCCCAACATGAGTCTCATAACAAAAGCTATTTTACCGATAACCATCTGCATGATACCAAGATGGTACAACACTGAGATGAAACAACTGAAGAAAATTACCACCGGTAGAACCTGAAAACATCATACAATATATCTATAAAGTAAAATATCCAACCCTACTGAACATTTCGATCATATCATCCAGGTAAAGAAGACTTTCGATCATATCATCCAGGTAAAGAAAACTTTCGATCATATCATTCAGTAGACCAGGAGCCGAGGGGGTCAACCTAGCTGAAAAGTGTAGCAATTTTTTCCTATATGGTATCAATGTATGTATATCTGGTATCATCAGAATGTAAGTCTGCCCGGTTTCTGGTGGTGGGTGTGGTATTCCACGCCCTAAATGCCATGACCCCCAACTAGGCTAGATTAGCTCAAAAGTGTACCAAATGAAAATCGCACAGCAGTGTACCGTACATCTTCAGGTATTACAACCAGCGGCTGCCAGGCAGGATACGCCCACATTTTCGAGAGATGGATAGAGAACAAGCTAACAAGAAAGTGATTTTTCCTACAATCAAGGGCCATAATTCAGGAAATTACAATTCGATATGCGCATATATCGAAAGGAACTGAGATCTTTGTGTTATAAACTTACATTTCAAGTTTTAACAAACTCGGATAAAAATTGTGACCTCTATAGGGTCCACAACCTTGATATACCATATTTTTACGCTATTTGAGAACGAACGGCGGCCATTTTGTCTGTCAATTTTGGGGCGATTTTCACAAAATTCAAACTCAACTGTCCTTAGGGTGGAACGGTAATATAATAATACGGTTTTTTAAATCGGATAAAAATTATGACCTCTAATGGGTCCACAAGCTAAAAACATGATTACAATTCGGTATACGCATATATTGAAAGGAACTGAGATCTTTGTGTTATAAACTTACATTTCAAGTTTCAACAAAATCGAATAAAAATTGTGACCTCTATAGGGTCCACAACCTTGATATACCATATTTTTACGCTATTTGAGATTGAACGGCGGCCATTTTGTCTGTCAATTTTAGGCCAATTTTCATGAAATTCAAACTCAGTCGTCCTTAGGGTGTAACGGTGATAAGCTAAAAACGTGATTTTTCGTACAATCAGGGGCCATAATTCAGGAAATTACGGTCCGATATGCGCGAATATCGAAAGGAACCGAGATCTTTGGGTTATAGACTTACATTTCAAGTTTCAACAAAATCGGATAAAAATTGTGACCTCTATAGGGTCCACAACCTTGATAAACCATTTTCTTACGCTATTTGAGAACGAACGGCGGCCATTTTGTCTGTCAATTTTGGGCCGATTTTCACGAAATTCGAATTCAGTCGTTCCTAGGGTGTAACGGTGATATAATAATACGTTTTTTTAAATCTGATAAAAATTATAACCTCTATAGGGTCCACAAGCTAAAAACGCGATTTTTCGTACAATCAGGGGCCATAATTCAGGAAGTTACGGTCCAGTATGCGCGAATATCAAAAGGAACCGAAATCTTTGGGTTATAAACTTACATTTCAAGTTTCAACAAAATCGGATAAAAATTGTGACCTCTATAGTGTCCACAAGCTAAAAACGTGATTTTTCGTACAAACAGGGGCCATAATCCATGAAGTTTCGATCCGATACATGCCAATATCGAAAGGAACCAAGATCTTTTGGAGATAAACCTATATTTCAAGTTTCGTCAAAATCGGATAAGAATTGTGACCTGTAGAGTGTCCACAAACAAATTGTGGACGGACGGAAGGACGTCCGAACGGACAGGGGCGACGACAATATATGTCCACATGAAAATGTGGGCGTATAAAAACACTGACAGACATTTCTAGTGGTGGGGTACCCAAAATGTCACGCCCCCAACTAGGCTAACTTCGCAAGCACTGTTCCCGTGTTTTAAAAAATTAAATTTTTAGCCAGGATGCATAGAATACTAATACCTAGCACGTATGGAAGAGGCGATAGACTGCGGTTGTAAGAAATTGATTTTGGGGAAAAAAACATTTTATGGGGTTTAAAATGCGTTTTTGAAAAAAAAAAATTGTTCCTGCAGGCACGGGAACAGTGCCGGCTAATCTATCCTAGTTGGAGGGCGTGGAATTTTGGGGTAACCCACCGCAAACTGTCTGGCAGTGGTCATTCATGATTCCTCTCGTGGTACCGAACAACTTCAAAGCTGTTTTAGGTGGTACAGATTTGAGCTACTCTAGCCTAGCTTTGGTCTGGAAATTAGATAACTCTTGTCAGGGATACTCCATCATTATAAATGTCTGGCAATTACATAGCTCTGTCAGGGGTACCCCACCACTAGAAATGTCCGTCAGAGTGTTTTTGTAATACCTGAAGATGTAGGTACATTGCTGTGCGATTTTCATGTTGTACACTTTTGAACTAATCTAGACTAGTTGGGGGGCATGGCATTTTGGGCGTGGAATACCACACCCACCACCAGAAACCCGGCAGATATACATTCTGATGATACCAGATATACATACATTGATACCATATAGGAGAAAACTGGTACACTTTTCAGCTAGGTTAACCCCTGACTTTCGAATACGGTAGTTAAAGGTCTTTTAATTTGTATTTGGTTAAATTTAAGATAATGTGGGGTAGCATTTGGTAGCAAAAAAATTCTTTTAACTGAAGTCAATGTTTAGAGAATTAACCAACCTTCATAGCAAAAAAATGGTCCATAAATTTATCGCCAAATACCATCCTTGATCCGACATCCGTATAACTAAGGAACACTTGAACTTGTTGCCCAAGGAAGTGAAATATTTTATACCCAGGATCCCATTTGAGAATAAAAACAGCGAACATAAACTGTAGAGTGAATCCTCCAAGAATGGGTCGCCATTTTATCTAAATAAAAAATATTATATTTATAAAAGACGTATATAGTTCAATATTTTGGTTTATAGCAACATTTAGTTCGAACTTCGATAAATAGAAATCATCCTTGACGTCTGGTATTATAATTCTGATATAATAAGATAGGTTGCCAGGCAATGAAACATACGCCCAGAGCAGCTAAATCGTTCGAGTGGTCGACAAGGGTTGTCGCATATTTTTACTTTTGTAGGTAATTAGGGGCATTTAATAGACAGTTACATTCAGATGATATTATAATTTTTCGTCGTTTGAGGGATCACAAGGTACTAAAAACTAAAACATGGGCCATAACACTGAAGTAATATACAGAAATTGTTGAAATTTGACAGGCTTTTTGTTTTACTAATTTAAATAATGCATATAAATTTCATACAGATAGGATGATAACTTTTGTCGTTCGAACGTTCAAAAAGTTAAACAAAGTAAAACAAGGGCCATAAGTTGAGAAGTAATTGACAAACATAACGCTAACGCTACAATATACGTCCACATTCCAATTCTGCTTTGATTGACAAGGTACTTTGTCAAGAAGGCTAGGCTTTTGGTTTGTTTAGCGTTGAGGGTCGTGCATCAACATCAATAGTTCCTGTCCTTAGAGTATAACTTATTAATAAGTATACCAAGATAATGCATTCAGAATTGTGCCTTTCACATTCCAAAGGCAAAAAGTGGGCGTGACTCTGCTCCTGGGGGTTGAGACATTCACCAAAATCAATAGTGGACTCCCTAAGGCAATAAGGAATACATATGCCAAGTACCGAGCGGCTTCATTAAGAATTGCGACCTGGGAGTCGGCTAAGCAGTTATCCTGAGGCTATAAGGAATACATAACCCAAGTTTAAAGACGATCCATTAAGAAATGTGCACTACACGACGTAAAGAGAATCCTAATGCAGCAATACACCTTAGCAGCAATATACAGTCCATATTGTTGCTTTGATCGATATGATCCAGTTTATGTGGAGGGCTTGTCAAATTAAACTGGGTTGTAGGACTGCTATCAGTACAACATTTCATTCACATTAACATTGTTAAATGGAGTTATCTCCCCAAAATCGGGCATGCACCCAAAAGAAAAGGGACCAACCTCAGGGTATAAGGAATATGTATTTTAAGTTTCAAGATGATCGATTTAGAATTGTGGCCTGTAGGCGACACACAAAAAGAAAATTGGCATGGCTCTGCCCCTGGGGGTTGGGCATGTAGGGCCTACTCCAAATGATAAGGATGTTCCAAATGATAGGAATGTTCCTTAGGGTACAAAGAATAAGTATATAAAGTGTGGCTCTGCCCCTGGGGGTTGGGCATGTACCCCAAACGATAGGGATGTTCCTTAGGGTACAAAGAATGTGTATGCAAGATTATAAGTTAAGAAATGTGGCCTGTAGACGACAAACAAACAAATACTAGAAATGGGCGTGGCTCTGCCCCTGGGGGTCGGGCATGCACCAAAAACAATAGGGATCTTCCTTGGGGTATAAGGAATAAGTATACCAAGTTTGAAGAAAATCCAGTAAGAATTGCGCCCTGTAGGCGACACAAAGACACACGAAAAGAAAATGGGAAATGGGCGTGGCTCTGCCCCTGGGGGTTGGGCATGTACCCCAAACGATAGGGATGTTCCTTAGGGTACAAAGAATGTGTATGCAAGATTATAAGTTAAGAAATGTGGCCTGTAGACGACAAACAAACAAATACTAGAAATGGGCGTGGCTCTGCCCCTGGGGGTCGGGCATGCACCAAAAACAATAGGGATCTTCCTTGGGGTATAAGGAATAAGTATACCAAGTTTGAAGAAAATCCAGTAAGAATTGCGCCCTGTAGGCGACACAAAGACACACGAAAAGAAAATGGGCGTGGCTCTGCCCCTGGGGGTTGGGCATGCACCCCAAACGATAGGGATGTTCCTTAGGGTACAAAGAATGTGTATGCAAAGTTTCAAGATTATTAGTTAAGAAATGTGGCCTGTAGACGACAAACAAACAAATACTAGAAATGGGCGTGGCTCTGCCCCGGGGGGTCGGGCATGCACCAAAAACAATAGGGATCTTCCTTGGGGTATAAGGAATAAGTATACCAAGTTTGAAGAAAATCCATGAAGAATTGCGCCCTGTAGGCGAACCACAGACACACACACACACACACACACACACACACACACACATACATACATACACACACACACACACACACAGACAGGGGCGACGGCATAATACGTTCACATTATGAATGTGGACGTATAAAAATTGCTGAAATTCAATAGGCTTCTTCATTTCACTAATTTAAATGATGCATATGAATTTCATTCAGATCGTTTTACTAATTTAAACGATACATATAAATTTCATACAGATTGGATGATAACTTTTGTGGTTAGAGCGTTCACAAGGTGTAACAAAGGTAAACAAGGGTCATAACTCCTGAAGAAATTAACAGAAATTATTGAAATTATATAGGCTTCTTCATCTCACTAATGTAAAAAACATATATCAATTTCAAAACAATCAGATGATAAATGTAGTCTGTAGAGTGTTCACAAGAAATTGTGGACGACGGAGGGACCATATAAAAATGAAATGTTTATCTGCTGGTTTGGTGATCCAACAACATAATCCGACGGCCACTGCACCTTCCTTAGCATAGAAGACAGAATTCAACTAAAAGAGTTATCACCCTTGAGTACCATTTGAAATTCTGTCTATCAATTTTCTAAGCATTACTTGAGGAATTGTTGTATTGTGATTAACGTGAAATATCCGTTTACCTGAGATTTATGTTCGGAGAAGATAAACAGCAGGATGACAAAGAAAACAAAACCAGCGACTGAGATGAGGTTACCAGGCTGATTTATCACCGTGGAAATTATTACAAATAAAAACAAACCAATCACAATCAGGATAAACAACCTAAAAATGATTTTATTTTTTATATAATATACAAATGGTAACCTGCAGAAATATTAAAACTATTTATTTTAAAGTCATGATCAAGTCATATTCACCCGTTTTTAGAAAATAAGACAAAAAATATGAATTGTAATTTGGGTGTATAGTAGAGAACCAATCTGACTTTAGAGGATATAAAGTGTACAGGTAGTTTTGGTATTTAAATCAAAGCTACATGTACCTACAATTAGTGCAAATGGTACAAAGCGGCTATCTCAGACCTAGCATTAAGAAAATATGACAACATAGGATTACTGTGCTGGGGTTTTATTTGAATAAAGCATCACAAAGTGTACAGATTAGACACTGAATTGTAACATGTATCCTACTTTTTAATTCCAGACGAGTATAGAGGAAACAAAGTCATAATTCGGATTACGACTTGGCCTGCACTCATATTTCAAAATTATTCCAATTTTAGCAACCTTTATCATTTTTATAACAGTACTCACCATTTGAGAATATTTTTTGTTTTTTTGTTTTCAATACTTTCAAGGCATGGACGGAGACATTTCACTTTTACATCTTCACCGAAATGCATCCAGATATAGTTGAGAACGATGAACGCCAATACAATACATGTCAAACAGATTAAAGGTACTGTATTCACGCAATCTTTTGTGGCACCAAATATCAGCGCTGTTATAAAATAGGCTAGGTACAAGACACAGAATAGTCCAATTATCACCTGAAAGTAGTAAATAATATTTAAGCTTTAAATCAAAATGGAGTTGAGCTAAAAGTAAAATTGAGGCTTTAATTGAATTTGATAAGATGATATTAGAACACTTTGATTTATTATTACTTTCTACTGTGCATGGTCTGAAAGTATTTACTTGCACTCGATTGAGCCTGGCATATTTTCTCCAAGAACAATTAATTATAACGTCTGGTCAACACAATAATCTTGTGTGTGCTACGTTTGAAATAAATTAATTATTGTAGTATTCTGGTGAAATAATTGAACACTACATGACAGTTCCATCTTTTCCTTACATTCAGTCTATTTCTAATTTTATTCAACTATTACATTCACTCTATTCTAATTCAACTATTAAGAGCAGTGTGTTCTAATGTTATTGAAGTTATAAAACTAACCATACGAACATTAGATTGATTATCAGTAACAAATTTCTCCATCTCTGCGCCATGCTTGAATACACTGGATAAAAAACTACTTGTACCTGAATCACTACTGATTGTTTCACTGGATTTGGCTACAATGAGAGAAAGAGTTAATATTGACCAGTTGTTTTACAATCAGTGAGAGAAGGGTTTATTTTTATAATCAGAGAAGGAGGTAGAACAATCAGGTCTAATGACAGGTACCGTTGGGTCTGTGTGATGTGACAGGTACATGTATAGATTAGTTCCTCTTAATGACTTGAACCTGCAGCCGTGAGTATTGAAGATTTCAAATATCTACAACCTGTTACAACACCAACTAAACAAAGTATCTCGAGATTGGTACAAAATAACTTACAACCAGAATCCACGCTATCTATTTCAATAGTCATATCGCCTCCATTCATTTTCTTCATGGCCGAATCATTTGGTGTACTCATCATTAATGGTTCCTTGGTTCTACTTGTATCGCCCATTTTTATTTACGATGTTGATTTCACTGAAATGTTCAAATTAATTTTGAAAATTATACATCGACTTTCACATCTGGTTTGATTATGATCAGGGCTCGAAATTCGTTTTTTTGATCGAAGGCCAACTTTTTCCTACGATAGGCCAAAGTGCAACCTTGATCCAAGGCCAAAAATTGAAAATCCAAGGCCAATTTTATGTCATGAATTATGATATTATCAGCTTATTTAGAAGGTTTTAATATGTCGATCATGTGTAAATCTGTTTATTGTAGACCTTGTTTCTCAGTCAAAATGTTGTTACAGGCCTGCCTATCACATCACGTTCAATGTTTTTATTACTTTTACAAAAATAATGCATCCTTACAGTTATTGAGTTAAGGGAGAAAATTCCCCAAACTATAACTGGCAGACATCAGACAAATGGCTGCTAGAAGTAATCAAAAGCTAGCAGACAAGAATAAACATAGTTCAAAATATTCACATCTTTGCACAATGGATTGATCTGCTCTAATCACGTGATCAATTCTGTCCAGTGGTCGCCGTCGATACTGATTTATAGTAGAAAACACAGAATATAACAAAAAGAAAGGAAACGAAATACAATATTAATAGTAGTTTGAACCTTACAATTCACCCTGAAGTTAGTAGTGTACCAGGATAATGTTTATATTTTATGAAAGATAATAAATTGTTGCTTCAAATGGTATGTGATAATATACTTGGAATTTGATTTTTCATATTGCATTCCACTGCGACAAGACAGCATCCTATATCAATATGGCCTCGAAGTCTGCTACCCCACCCCTCTTATACGTTACAATTCACCCTGTAGATATTAATGTGCCAGAAAAATGATTACATTTTATAAACGATAATAAATTTCTCTTTTAAATGGTATATGATATTATACTTGGAATTTGATTTTTCATATAGCATTTCGCTGTCGCATATTGACAGCATCCCGTATAAATACCGTCTCAAGGTATGCTACCCCACCCCTCTTATACCTTACAATTCACCCTGTAGATATTAATGTGCCAGGAAAATGATTATATTTTCTGAAAGATAATACATTCCTCTATTAAATGGTATGTGACAATATACTTGGAATTTGATTTTTCATATAGCATTTCGTTGCCGCAAATGACAGCATCCCGTATAAATACCGTCTCAAGGTATGGTACCCCACCCCTCTTATACCTTACAATTCACCCTGTAGATATTAATGTTCCAGGAAAATAATTATATTTTCTGAAAGGTAATACATTCCTCTATTAAATGGTATGTGACAATATACTTGAAATTTGATTTTTCGTACAGAATTTCGCTGATGCAAATGACAGCATCTTATATTAATATAGCCTCAATGTCGGCTACCCCCACCCCTCTTATACCTTACGATTTGGAAAGATATCAATGTGCCAGAAAAATGTTTATATTTTATGAAAGATGATAAATTTCTCTCTTTAATGGTATATGGCATTATACTTGGAATTTTATTTTTCATATAGCTTCTCGCTGTCGCAAATGACAGCATCCTGTATAAATACCGTTTCAAGGTATGCTACCCCACCCCTCTTACATGTATATCGCATAATTCAGTCTGTAGATGTTATTGTGCCAGGAAAATGTTTATATTTTATGAACGATAATAAATTTCTCTTTTAAATAGTATATGATATTATACTTGGAATTTGATTTTTCATATAGCATTTCGTTGTCGCAAATGACAGTATCCCGTATAAATACCGTCTCAAGGTATGCTACCCCACCCCTTTATACCTTACAATTCACCCTGTAGATATTAATGTGCCAGGAAATTGATTATATTTTTTGAAAGATAATAAAGTATTCTTTTAAATGGTATATGATATTATACTTGGAATTTGATTTTTCATATAGCATTTTGTTGCCGCAAATGACAGCATCCTGTATAAATACCGTCTCCGGGTCTGTTACCCCACCCCTCTTATACCGCATAATTCGCCCTCTAGATATCATTGTGCCAGGAAAATGTTTATATTTTATGAACGATAATAAATTTCTCTTTTAAATGATATGTGATATTATACTTGGAATTTGATTTTTCATATAGCATTTCGTTGCCGCAAATGACAGAATTCCGTATAATACCGTCTAAAGATATGCTTCCCCACCCCTCTTATACCTTACAATTCACCCTGTAGATATTAATGTGCCAAGAAAATGATTACATTTTCTGAAAGATAATACATTCCTCTATTAAATGGTATGTGACAATATACTTGGAATTTGATTTTTCGTACAGAATTTCGCTGATGCAAATGACAGCATCCTATATTAATATAGCCTCAATGTCGGCTACCCCCACCCCTCTTATACCTTACGATTTGGAAAGAAGATATCAATGTGCCAGAAAAATGTTTATATTTTATGAAAGATGATAAATTTCTCTCTTAAATGGTATATGGCATTATACTCGGAATTTGATTTTTCATATAGCTTTTCGCTGTCGCAAATGACAGCATCCTGTATAAATACCGTCTCCGGGTCTGTTACCCCACCCCTCTTATACCGCATAATTCACCCTGTAGATATTATTGTGCCAGGAAAATGTTTATATTTTATGAACAATAACAAGCCAACAGTGAGGATGATGTCCCCCGCCGAAATCCCCAAATAAATAGATGACACATATTAATCGCACATCTATTTTTTTCGAAAGTATCGAGCAATTAAACTGATTATCAACTATTCACTAAGTTTCATCACTCTCTATCAGATAGAATCAAAGTTATCTTGTCCCAAAGCATCGACCAAGGAAATTGCTTATCTTAGCTTTAGCTTTAGCTCGATATGTTAATCATTGAACTTAGTCAAGACGAACATCTACATCAAGTTTAAACATTCTATCTCAATTAGAAGCAGAGTTGTTATGTTCCAAAGTCTTGACCAATCAAAATGCCTAAGCAGACAATTCTCATCATCGAACTTAGTCAAGGTATTGATGTAATGAAACTATACACCAAGTTTCATTACTCTCACTTAATTAGAACTAAAGTTATCGTGTCCCAAAGCATCACCCAATCAAATTGCTTATCTGTACTTACCATTAGCAGAAAATGCTCATCTTCGCACTCTATCAAGGCATTGACCTCATAAACACCTACACCAAGTTTGAACATTCTAGCTCAATTAGAAGGAGAGTTATTGAGTTCCAAAGTCTCGGCCAATCGAATTGCTTATCGCTCTGCTTACCCTGAGCAGAAAATGCTCAATATCGAACTTAGTCAAGGTATTGATGTAATAAACCTACACCTCATGGTGTTGGTTTTTACATTTCTAAACAAGTACAGGTGACAGAGTATTCCCTTCCTAATGAAATTATTGATATTGAATACCATACTCTAAAATTAGACTATAATCATAAGCCATTGATTCTAGTTGTAATATACAAATCACATTCACAACATCTTACTGACTTTATAACTCAGTTTGATACATTAGTTAGTGGTATTAAACAAAACTCTCACAATATTCTACTACTTGGTGATTTTAATATGGATCCAACACAACTTGACAATATTCTTTTGAAACACAATTTACAACAATTGATTACATCTCCAACTCATTTCCATGGTGGTACATCGGATTTTATCATATCATCTATTCCTGATATAAATACTGGCTCATTCCCACTACCATATACAGATCATCATATCATATGGGCATCATTACCATAAAAATGTAAATCTTAAGTCCCATCACCATTTAACACAATTCTTTGCTCACTGCTCACATATAAATAGACATAGTTTTTGTATTTTATGATCTTTTCTTCTTCCATTCTCCCTCAAAATAATAACTAATGTGATTATTGTTATAAAAAATTTGAACAGTGAAAATGCTCATTATCAAACTTAGTCAAGGTATTACTGTAATGAAACTATACACCAAGTTTCATCAATCTCACTTAATTAGAACTAAAGTTATCGTGTCCCAAAGCATCAACCAATCAAATTGCTTATCTCTGCTTACCCTAAGCGGAAAATGCTCATCTTCGAACTCCATCAAGGCATTGACCTAATCAACACATACACCAAGTTTGAACATTCTAGCTCAATTAGGAAGAGAGTTATCGTGCCCCAAAGTATCAACCAATCAAATTGCTTATCTCTGCTTACCCTAAGCGGAAAATGCTCATCTTCGTACTCCATCAAGGCATTGACCTAATAAACACATACACCAAGTTTGAACATTCTAGCTCAATTAAAAGTTATCGTGTCCCAAAGCATCAACCAATCAAATTGCTTATCTCTGCTTACCCTAAGCGGAAAATGCTCATCTTCGAACTCCATCAAGGCATTGACCTAATCAACACATACACCAAGTTTGAACATTCTAGCCCAATTAGGAAGAGAGTTATCGTGTCCCAAAGCATCAACCAATCAAATTGCTTATCTCTGCTTACCCTAAGCGGAAAATGCTCATCTTCGAACTCCATCAAGGCATTGACCTAATAAACACATACACCAAGATTGAACATTCTAGCTCAATTAGGAAGAGAGTTATTGTGTCCCAAAAAGTGTGATGGACAGACAGACGGACAGACGGACGAACCCATTTTAATAGTCCCCTGCTTTCTTCGAAAGGCGGGGGACAATAAATTTCTCTTTTAAATGGTATATGATATTATACTTGGAATTTGATTTTTCATATAGCATTTCGTTGTCGCAAATGACAGTATACCGTATAAATACCGTCTCAAGGTATGCTACCCCACCCCTTTTATACCTTACAATTCACCCTGTAGATATTAATGTGCCAGGAAAATGATTATATTTCCTGAAAGATAATACATTCCTCTATTAAATGGTATGTGACAAAATACTTACTGTCTGATTCATCGTAAATTTTAAACGGATTTCTTCGATTATGAACAAACTACTTAACGTTGGTTATTATAAACTTACCTGTGTGTTTGTAATGAACTCCCGTTCGATAAAATCCATTGCACAACTAATTATCACAACGATGAAAACAAGTT